CAAGACGACACCAGCCAACCTTGCGTCGACATCGGCGCGAATCTCTGCTGCTCGTTGCTAGCTTAGAAGGATGCCAGTAAGTGCAATGCTAATTTAATCAATCGATTCATGAATAATTATAAATTTACAGGTAGCATCACTTACATGCGTATTATTTACTAAGTCTCTGACATCGCTTTCGCTCGTCGTGCAGGTATCTATCAGGAACATCCTTCTCTATGACTGAACGCGCATTCAGTGCAGCTGATCAGAGCTTCCAGGTGCAACTAGTGACAGTGTGCAGCTAAGTATACACAGTTTCATTTGATCTCAGTGATATATATGTTACAAAATAGAAAATTACAATTGCAAAATGAACAAAATAGTAGTTGATTGTGGTAAAACGTTATCATTTACTGTTTTATCAAGTAGATAAAGAACGTTCGTATTTTTTCCATTTTTAGATGTGTCAACTCTGGTCTAGTTGATGACATCATCCAGACGGAGAATGTACAGAAGAGCGTGGGAGGAGACAGTCCGGTCGAGAAGTGGATCGCATTCAGAGCTTTCAAGTTCCCGGATGCAGACATAGTGCGCTTCCAATGCCAGGCGTTCGCTTGTTTCTTGGCATCTGATTGCGATGACACGGTATGACAGCCCTCTACGGATTCCACTATCCTTAAAATGCATATTTTCCTCAAATTAATCAGGGTCAGGTGAAGATTGGCATTCGATCATCTAACTGAGCGTGATCATTGCTTTCGGCATGTGCCATCTTCTAAGCATCCTTTTAAGTTTAGCTTCTTTGTTTCTGTCATTCCGTATTGGAATTCTCTCCCTTCATCTTAGTAAATTGCAAATTTGCAGCTTTTTCCACTACAACCCGCAGTGTTGATCTATCGATCAACTTGTCTCTCCGTCTTCGTTATAGTCCCTTGGACTTTTGAAGACTACTATTTATGAGGTTATGCAGATTACACTACGTGTTGTGCCTATACTATTGTTGCGTAGTTGTACGTCACTAATATATTCGTTTACCGCGTGCTTCAGTGTTCACCCGTCAGGAGAAGGAAGCGTGAGACGGAGGAAGAATTTCTACAGAGCGATGTTCCGACGCTGACACTCAGTGGCGAGATCCGAGTGCGCACGACTAATGCTTCTCCTACAAGCCAAGGTAGGCTCTCTGAGATTCATAATACACTTACAGTTATACGAAACATATACATTTTATACATGTGTGTGTGTCTCTCTCTCTCTCTGTGTGTGCGTGTACGCATGTGCGTGTGTGTGCGTGTGCGTGCGTTTGCGTGTGTGCGCGCATGTGCGTGCGGATGTGTATGTACGTGCGCGTGTCTGGGTATACATCTAATATATTTTATCCAGTTTAAACGAAACCGGATAAAACCTGTTCAATTGAATTAAGCAATTAAATATATTATCCATCATTGATTAACATAGTATATAGTAACTAATTTGTAGTATTTTAATACATTATTTATATTTTCAATTATATGCGATTGAATGACGTCACATACTGGATGTTGTCATATATACAGAACAAAATGGAAATACTTTATGTTACAAAATGTTACTAACGAATATTTTATTCTCTTCAAGTTTCTTTCTCTATAATTCTATCAATCTATCATTTAACCTTTCCGGACGTTCCGCTCGACAATTTATTATGGTAGTGTTTATCTATTTACTTCTCACTCTCCGGTAATTTGGGTACATTGCGTAAAAACTAAACAAAGTATATATCGAAAATGAGCTTGCCCAGCTCCTCACCGTGAATACACCTTTTTTTTTATGTGTTTTTGTTATTTTTTTTTTTTTTTTTTTTTTTGTTATTTTTTTTTTTTTATCTATAGTCCTATAGTAGTTAGTATCTTTCTAAGTTTGATCCGTGTGAGCAGTTTTCACCTTTAAGAAATACCGCGAGCGTGCACGCCGGCGATCTCTCATGTTCTCTCGTCTCTCTCTCGTCTCTCTCTCCTCTCTCTCGTCTCTCTCTCTCTCTTTCTCTCTCTTTCTGCTCTCTTCTCTCTGCTCTCGATCTCCGTCTGCGCGCGCGCGCGTGTGTGTGTTGTGTGTGCGGCATTGTGTGTCACAGTGTGTGTGTGGTGTGTGTGTGTGTGTGATGGGTGTGCGCGCCGCGCGCACGCGTACGCTGTGGATATGCGTAACGCTGACGTGTAGCGTTTGTATGTGCGCACGCGTCTGTGTGTGAAGTTTTAACGCTAAATTGAGAAGTGAAACAGTTTGCAGTAAAAAATTCCTCTCC